GCCCGCCAGCTTGCATGTCAACAGACAGACGTTCAATTTAGATTCCAGACCTATGGAACTTTGACCTGTTACATCAGCTCTATCATATACCTGTCATACCTGACAGAAAAGAAAGTGTTGTCTTCTTCTTTTCTTCATCTTTTAGTGCTACTTTTTCAAAGCATTGCTACAAATTAGAATCAAAAGCATGGAGTGACAACTATAGTTCTGAAATGTTGCAATCGGTTCTGTTACTCCCGGCAGTTAACTGGGTCGTTATATGATACTGTACAGGCAAGGACGTTCAATTCAAAAGGGGTCTCCTTGGTCTAAGGACGTTTTACCTTAGCCAAGGTCTTGTTTTTCGTGCCCTTTGTTTATCTATGGGTGGCCTTAAGGTTGACTTTGTATGTGGCCAGACGACAACTTGTTTTGAAAGTTCTAAGTCTCTCGTGTCGATCTATGAACCACAGACAGACATTTCCAGACTCCCCTGAGGGCGTCTGGCTTTTTAAAAGGTCTGGTAAATTAATGCCTTGGAGCTGTCGTATCGCTAAACAATGACAGTGAAAACCCGACAAGTAAACCTAGATCAGTCGTCCAAAATAATGAGAAGACCCGGTGAAACGACGCTGTTTATATTGTGTACAGTTTGCTTTTATATTATCATCGCCCACAGTAGTCTATTAAACAGGGAATGGGATTTTCCCCCCATGCTCAACATGAATATCCAAGCAGATGTTGAGACAAGATTTTGTGTCCAGTAGTGAGGCTTGTAAGAGCAGCGCACTCCACTCAACACAACACAGATACACATTCACTCTGTCAACCCATCTAACCGTGTTTGATCACTCTGCACACATACTAGTACTTAGAAGTGTGTGTACGTGTGTATGTGTGTGCGTGTGTATATATGTGTGTGTGTGTGTGTGTGTGGGCATGTGACTGTGTGTGTGTGTGTGTGTGTGTGCGCGCGTGTGTGTGTGTCTGTGTGTGTGTGTGTGATTGCGTGGTTAGTGCATGTGCTATGTAGTCATAAACTTACATTAAGACGAAAAACAACGCAATGTCAAGCCATACCTCATTCTTGTGCCATTCCAAATTATCACAAAGCCTCCAACAAGTCCAAGGTTATATCATTCTTCATCCCCAGCGGCCACTCCAGCAATCCAAAACTCCTTGCAAAGCTCTTCACGGACCTTGCTTGACCTCCACATCAAACCGTTCTTGTTCCATCTCTTCCCACCAGATTCACCAGATTTTAGCATTGTATGCCTTAGAGGAATATTCTTTACTAGATCAAATGGTTTAGTACATAAACAAATTCGAGTCGACTACACTGTCTACAGTTTCTTACAAATTAATAGGTGTCCATTTATGTGCTACATCGATGAAACTCAAACGAATCGGTAGACGAAATTACACGTTATCTACACACAGTATAAGTTCGATAAACAACAGAAAAAATACACGTTTATCTTACCTTTACCGTAAAGGAATATTTGGAATAGGGATCACATACATACCAGGTCTCTGTGCTCTGACAGAGTTTACCGCCATCGAGCAAAGACGTTCTGTCATCTACAACACAGAATTTTCAGAGAAAATCCAGATTTCTGTCTCTCAAAGTATCGTAACATAAAAGTAAGAGGAAGGAGCCACAAACTCTGACAGAAAACCGCCTCAAATAATATAATTGACAACTTGCAGACGATTTTTAGGACACACGTCTGACCCAGCTCCTTCCATGGCGACGTGTGAGGACTTGTGTCTGAATTTTGACTGAAAACCCCCGTATGTGAGGCAAACGCGGCCTCCTGATTGGTCAGTCGAGCCAGGGGAATCCTCAGGGGCGGGAAATGACTAATTTGGCGGGAAAATCCCCGTCTGGGGGCTTCCCCGGGTTTTGTGGTTTGGGAAATACCCTGATCATATGACTGCGTGAGTCATGCGGGGAAAACCCAAACCTCGCCTACTCAACCTCTCATTTTACACGCTGCAACAATGTCTTGCTGTTTGACTCAAGTCAGTTCTTACCGCTTTCAACAGTAGATCTTTGGCCTTAGAAACAAGTCAAGACCATTTCAGGTAGTATACAGGGGCTATTTCAGTCATACTTGTGTAAGTTTATCTGCAACAGACTATATATTTCAGTATTAGCAGTCAGGATATAAGGTTTGATACAGAGCCTTCTACCTGTGACAAAGACTTCACTAAAGGTAGGTTCTTCATTCTTCAGATGCTAAGTATCACAGTGGAGAAGGTTATAATTCGTAAGACAATTATGTCAGTAGACAGAGTACCACTTGTACATAGTGTAGGCACTGCCACTGTGAGGAGACATTGCATTGTGTGACTGGAATACCGTTGAAATTTGTTTCCTACATGCAGAGCTATCCTGCTTCATGGCTCGTCACTTTGTGACAGAACATTGTACTATGGTAGTATATTGTATATTTAGATACTTCCAGAAGATATACAATATATGAGAAGGGGCACTGGTGCCGAGCCCTCCCCCTCCCCAGCAGTCAATACACTGTGAGGTAGCCATTGGCCTACAAATGTATGATGTGGCAAGTATGCCGAGTGCATGCACTATGACCTTTCTAGGGTGACATGGCGGTTTGCATGCGCCAGGTTCCTGTAATAAGGTTGAGATCGAGAAGATATGTTTCATCGTAGTATATTAGTAGCCTCATGATTTGTACTACATGTAAACGAATCTGTTCAGGCTTTCAAGACAGACACACAAATACACACACACACACCGACACACATAAACACACACACACACACACACATAAACACACACACACACACAGACACATCGGCCACTGACACACACTCACAAACATCATGGCACATGGTAAACACTTCACTCCCCTGGAGAAATAAACAAGCTACAGCTGACAGGTGCAATTTTCCCGGATCTTGGCAGACCCCCAGCTAAGTGCGCTACAAAGTCCTGCTGACTTAACCACACAGGCCCTGAGCAACCCAACTATGTCCACACTTGTACCAGGCATGTCACACTTTGCCTGACGGGGCATTCACCTGGCCATGTGCCTTGAGCTGTCACAGGTATGTTGTCAACAGGCTAACACAATGAGAAAGGGTCAATATTGACACCAAAGTCATGCGATATGCTCCCCCCACGGTCACTATTGTGTGTGTCAAACAACCACCATCGGATAGCCTGGTTACCGTTCTCCACAGGCCGGCTTAGGGCTAGAGCTGTTTTACCGGCCCGGGTACTACTATATACTACTACTACTACTACTACTACTACTACCACTACTACTACTTCTACTACTACTACTGCTTCTACTACTACTACTTTTACTACTACTACAGTACTGCTATATACTTACTACTATATACTACTAATACTACTACTACTACTGCTTCTACTACTACTACTACTATTACTACTACAGGACTGCTATATACTTACTACTTGCTATATACTACTACTATAATAGTAGTACTTACACAGCAATAAAGCACTTGTTCCTCCAACCCTTGTACCTCAGTTATCTAACCTAGTGCATTTGGCCCATGTAGGGCATGAATGTGCAATAAAGTTGATCGTCATTGACATTGTCATTATGAAAAGCATAGGTCTCGCCAGGCCAGTTCAGACCGTATCAGAAGTACCTGCGTACCTGAAAATTTACCTGCACTAACCTGTATACACAGGTGGTACATTGTATTTTGAGCCGTGGAGTTACGTAACTGTTTTGTCCAGTCCACGAGTACAAATTCAGGGTGCGTAACGTATTTTGAAAGCACAAAGGTCTTCTCAAGGATGGCACATGACACGTTAGGCACACACTCTACAAAAGACTTCGTTTCAGAAACGAAAACAACTTTTAAAATTATCTAAAAAGGGCCACAAAATAGTCAAATAGCGATCAACCTATATTTCACCTATAATGTACTTTTTGCCCGTTGGACCCTAAGTTTATAACCTCTATCGGTTAGATTGACAGGTGAATGTTTTTGCTATGTTAAAAAAACAAACACAAACATAACCCAAACGATGTCAAGGCCATTGGTTATCACTGAAGCACGCGCGTGTTTCCTTTATGTAAATACTACATTTATTTACTAATAAATCAATAGATAGGAAAAGATAACATACAAGGGAAAACATGTCAGTTACTGTTTATTAAAGTTGAAAGGGTGCCCTGTACAGTTACCACTTGATGCCTACTCTGACCTATGCATAGCTGGTTAGAACTTCCTTTGTTAGAAAAGAACACTAAACATTCCGTTACTAGACGATTTAGAAGTTACTAGACGATTTAGAAGTTTGAATTTGCAGCCATCAATGCCTAGTAATATGTCTTGGTCAACAATCAACGTGTTATAACAGATCTTTATGTACAAATAGTATCCAGTTCTAGATATCTATATATACAGTACGCTAATGTGTACTTTGCCCAGAATGGCAGGCGTCCAAACAGTACGAACTGTACAAAACAAAACGAGAAAGTAAATGAACAATGTTTCATACTTCACACACTACTAAATATTGCGCTACATTCATTTTTAAAAGTTTGGTATAAATGTTTTTTAGTGAGGAAATTGCACACAATCAGGTAATAGATGTTACCTATGTACAGTGAAAAAGTTTAGTTCCACTGGCAGTGGTTATAGCTGGTCGCTATTTTATGTACGCTAAAAGTGGGGACTAAATGACCCAATACATACATGTAGGAAAAGCCTGTGCTACACAATCTCAAGGTGTCAGGGGCTGATTGGGCCCCCTCCTTGAAATCCTGTAGCCATCATATATACACCTCTAACTCACATGACTTAAGAGAACCATTCCCATTCCCAGAACTATCAATAGGCTATACTCGAGAGCATTCCCCACACCATTCATAGTCTCCACCAGACTCCTTTGCACTGGACTCTCTATGGCCGGCCAAATCCCCTGGCCAGCTACATTCTTTTTAGGCCAATTTATCCCGCCTGCAAAGGAGTCTGTAGGAGACTACACCATTTATCCCGGAATAGCTTTTGACGCTGCAGTTAGTATTACACATGTTTATAGTACAAAACATGCAAACTAGTTTTGAGGGAGATCCGCCACTTTGATGAGCCCCAGGTACGTTGTATCGTGGAACAGCAGAGCGTACATGTTCTCAGCGCCCCGCACCTCGATCCTGGCCCCGGCCTGAAAGACCAAATGATACCAAAAAAGTCTGTAAAACACATACAAATATCGGAAGTGTACATACAATATAGTCACTTGAAGTTTGTTCCAATCATGATGACTGGAAATTGAACTTGTACGGCCTTCTAAAAGTGACTTTTTGGAATCTCTCCAGCAAGCTGACATCACTGGGTGACATCAGCTCAGGAAAAAGTACAGACATGCAAAAGTCAAATGTAGAGATGCAAATCGCCTGCCAGGACTGGCTTATGCTGACTTTTCCAAGGCAGGACATTAAAATTTCGAATGTAGCAGGAGAACCGTGCATATTTATTGTAAATGTTTCTGTTAGCCAGGTAATACTAGTTATGTCAATTACAATCAGCTAAAGTCATATTTTGGTGTCATGAGTAGCCTCCGTAGCAGGCTTATAGAACTGGGGGTTTGGTGGTCTTCGGCTGTTTTCTGATTAGCCTCCGTAGCAGGCTTATAGAACTGGGGGTTTGGTGGTCTTCGGCTGTTTTCTGATTAGCCTCCGTAGCAGGCTTATAGAACTGGGGGTTTGGTGGTCTTCGGCTGTTTTCTGATTAGTCCAGTTCTAACGGGCCAATTCAACCAGGTCGGCTATGTTATCTGTATGAGATCAGAAAATACCACATAAAAGACCCTGAAGACCCCCCAAACCCCCAGTTTTTGGCATGCTATGGAGGCTATGTGATGAGCACCTGAAGCGGGGCCAGTCCCGCCACGTAGCACGTCTTGTATCGCCCCGTGACGCCGTCCGTGACGTTCTCCACGCTCTCGTTGCACGTCAGGTACATGCTGCCGTCCACGTACACCGTGTGCGACACCAGGTGGTGCTTCTCGTAGAACACAATCTGAGGGAACGGAAAAAAAGATGAAAACGAAAATGCAAGTTAATCAGTGACTGTTTTGAAAGGTAGCAAAACACATCAAGGAGTGACCTAGTCTCACGAGAAGACTAGGTCGAGACTCATTCATTCATGATCACTCTCACCCGCTCAATCTATCAAGCTCACTCACTCACTCACTCACTGACTCACTCACTCACTGACTCACTCACTCACTCACTCACTCACTCACTCACTCACTCACTCACTCACTCACTCACTCACTCACTCACTCACTCACTCACTCGCTCGCTCGCTCATCCGAGACTCATCTAAACGATAAAGCTATATAGAACTGCCCCCCTTCATATTATGTATGTATCGTATTTTATAGCATTGTTTCAGTGTACTCGTTGGATAGTTATAAGACTTGCCCACCTGACTGTATATGAAGTACACTCCGGATTTCTCCACGGTGATTTCCCCGCTACTCGCCACGTGAAAGTCTTCCTTGTTTGCCCAGTCTGCCAGGATCCAGTTGTTCAGGGTGGCTGGGGAATGCATAGAGAAAGTTGACATATCCATATTAATACTATCTTCTGTTTGTTATTTATGTGCTCTAACAGGTTTTTACGTCACCCCATGGGAGAGCGAAGTGTCGTTTGTCCTAGCCAGTCTAAATGTCCCTCTTTTCTCTCTGATTCTGAATTCTAATATACAAAGTACATCGTTTCATACATTTAGTACCGCTACTTTTGTCTGTGGGATTAGAAGGGTCGCAAAGCAGTATGGGTAATGGGATGAAGTCTGCCATCCCTGCTAGCCTCTACTAGACTTCGGGAGGCGGCTGGCAAAATGTTTTCTCCCCGCAGACCAACTCCCCTGGCATGTTATCTCTCTATTTGGCCGATTTCTACTCTTTGCAGCCGCCTCCCGAAGCCTGGTAGAGGCTATTGTTTTTCTGTCTTGGAAGACTTCTGACACAAGATGGCGGCCCTTACCGGACTCCAGCTCTCCCCTGCCGCCGCTGCTCTTGAAGTGGGCGAAGGTGGAGGAGAAGTTCCCGGCCGGGCCGGGCGGGCCTCGCGATCCGGGTGGGCCTGGGGGGCCAACGTCGCCTTTCCTACCTGTAAAAAAACAACACTCTTTTAGTGACCGAGTGTAGATGCCACGTGACAAGTCTCACTGGGTCAGTCTATTGAAGAAGACCAGAGTGACTGGTCGAAAGGTCTATAGGTGAGAATTCTTTTGTATTGGGAAATATTTTGCGACTGGAGATTTGATATGACCGGAGGTGAAACTGAAAGGTTTCAGAATCTGGCAGGCAGACAGTCGACTTATGTGGGCATTAAGGAATTAAACCAAGGACTACATACTTCCAGGAGATCTGAAACCACTGATTTCTAGTTTCATTTTTCGTTTTCTTCCAAGTCTTGAATTTTTTTACCTTTGCAATTTTTCGGGCACCTGTCTTTCTTCTTTCCTCTTCGCCCCTCCCTGTCCTTCTTGTGTCTCCTCTTCGGCGCTTCGGTCGGTCCTGCTGCGCCTCTTTTACGGACGATGTGGACCTGATAACAGAATGGATGCTTTAGTTTATAGAAACAATGTACGGTACCCGCCATGAAAAATGGCAATTCAGATGTCCCCCATATCGGTCCTTTCCATCCCCCAAAGAGCTCCATGTCAACACTAAACAGTTTTCAGTGCCAATGAAGTGCCAATGAAAAGGCATGAACAATGTCCACATGTATGTTTAATTCTGTACTAAGCCTTACGCATTCCAGCACGTCTTTTGGCATATTTTTCACTCCTTCGAAATCTCATTAACCTTTTACTAAATGACCTGCATCCTTTCTCCATACTCCTTCGAATTCCCGCAGTACCTGTCATAAACGCTAGAAAGTCCGGCAATGAGTGGAGGGTAGATTTGTCTCATAGTATGGTGGTTGTTATATTTTACGTTATTCTGTTATCCTTGTATCCTATGTATCATGTTACTCAGTATGATGTACATGTAACATCACACTCTGTTGTATGCATTTAGCCCCATGGGCATGAACATGCAATTAAAGATTCTTCCGTATAAGGCTATATACGTATTGTTATATAACTGTATACGTAGATACCGTATGCTGTACCTTGTATAGACATTACCCTAAGCACGTTCCTATAGCGTGTGCCCGTGAACCAGGTAAACAAGGTGTGCTCAGGTACAAAGGTAACCGTACGTCGTGACGCAATCGACTTTGTTCCACCGTACGCACACCTTTGACATGTATCAGGTGTCACAACACTGCCACATTTCGCAACGCTCTGTCTGCAAATGTGACGAATAATGAAAATAGCGCGCGACATTTTGGCTCTTTGCCAAGGATACAATACCACCACCCAGACATACCTGTCCTGTTGGACTCACCTGTCTATTGTTGTTGTGTTGCTGCAGGTGGGCCGAGCCGTCTGGTGGAGACGCCGTCGGTGTGGCGATAGGCGCTGCGCCGTCTGTCTGCACTGTGCATGCGCGTCGCAGCTCCCGTAGCTCTCTGTCCATCTGCCCAACCCGGCAAAACAGCCCCGCACAGGCGACCGTCAGCAGAACAAAAGCCGCACAAACTGCGCCATTGAACAGGCCCTGGAACGTCAGGGGGCGAGCGCGGGTCGGTTTCGCGCTCTCGCCCGCCAAACCTTCCTCCCCTCGCTGCCCGTTTAACGCTACCGGCTTCATTTTCGGCGTCTTTATACGACCAAAAGAAGCGCGAAGTCGTGCAGGGGCAGCTGCTCTACGGAGGTTTCATGAAGGGGCGACCCGCAGACTGACTGTAAGGTCCCGCAGTCCGCAATGCCCGCAACACTAGTTGGCGACAAAGTGCACGCAGTCGCGATGCACCCCGGGAAGTTTTCACAGAACGAAACTGACCGATACAGACTTCGGGCCAACGGTCAAGACGTTCCGTTGTCATGGCAACGGCCTTAGAGCACTTAAGCGTAGCCATTCTTCATTTCTTAGTAGGCGGTTTCAAGGAAAAGAGACTAAACTGTAGACGGATGGTACCACACTTTCTCTCACAACATACAGACTTCATTGACACCGAGGTCAACAACAGTGACATTTTTAATTTATTGAAAACGTCTGATATACAAAACAGCGTTAAGACCAGCGAAAACTGTACAGCAAAGGGGAGTGGCTTCTTTACTTTTGCCTTTTGAGACATAAAGGAAACCTGTAACTCCCTTCCCCCGTGACCAATTTTACTTTCACTTTCATTACAAGTACGCGGTTCAGAGTTCAATTCCCCTCACCTCCAAGTAGAGACCAGGACATCAGTCAGAAAGACGCATAGCACCAAAAAGACAGTAGAAATCGTTTTAAAAAGAACTCCTAGAGTACGGACATTCCCCTTCTCTCTAATTCAATGATAAACCATTACATGTATATCTCTAGCCTGGTTAACATTCTCCATGGGTCGGCTTAGGAGTGGTTTACCGACCCCACTCCTTCTGAGCACAAGTCTTTCCACCAGCTTATCTAAATTCCTTTCTAGCTGGCATTTCTGCTTACTGCCGTCTTTTCCTAATCCTAGCGCTAATACAACACTCCCACCACTGTAGAGAGACAGGAGCGCCTACGTACAATGGACTGGCTACTAAGCTATTATATCCCCAGTTTAAGTAACCTTCAGTGGTCTGTCTACCAGACTACTACAACATGCACTAGTAGTACTACTAATATATCCCTAATCTCCAAGCAGATACCTTTCGGTGGCAGTATCAAATTGGCCAGGCAGTATCCATTAGCCAGAGAAGGTCACCGGCCATCGACGGGTGGGATTAGCGACAAAAAACGGCCATACATAAAAAGTTAACGATCATTCCCCCACAACCTCTGCTTGGAGAGTACTATATCCCCAGTTTGAGTAATCCGAAGCATGGAGGTAAAAAGAGACCGTAAGTATAGTCCGGTGACGCTTTAACGTCTCCCCGGCCACCGACGGGTGGGATTAGCGACAAAAAACGGCCATACATAAAAAGTTAACGATCATTCCCCCACAACCTCTGCTTGGAGAGTACTATATCCCCAGTTTGAGTAATCCGAAGTAAGTATAATCCGGTGACGCCATGACGTCTCCCCAGGCTTCTACCGTGATGCGATCATTCCGGTCCAGCCTCCTGATCCCCGCCGCGAAACAAGCCCGTGTCCCCCTCCCGGCCGCGCCCTGCCCGGGACCGGCGCACGTCAGGACAGGCGTCGGGGGCCGGTCGCCTCTCCCTCCGAGCAGCACCCGGGACCGCGCGGCGCCCTTACCGTCCTCAAAAGTCACCTGGGGTGGAGGGAAGAACAGAAGTCTCCGGTATGAGTCTTTTTACATTGAGAGTGATATTGTCTTCTTTGCCCAGATAACTTTATTTGATTACTGCTAGTATACAGACTAGCTCCTCGGCTCCAGGGCTAGTTTGGGTGCCAGACTGTTGCCAGGACCTGTATACAGGCTAGGTCCTCGGTTCCAGGGCTAGCCTGGGTACCAGACTGCTGCCAGGGCCTGTATACAGACTAGCGCCTCTGCTCCAGGGCTAGCCTGGGTGCCAGATTGTTGTCAGGGCCAGCATATAGGCTAGCTCGTCGGCTCCAGGGTCAACATCTATCCCAAGGGAATCTTACCACAGAAGCCTCCCAGTGTGAGAAGTTGGTCTATGTACTGGCCCTGATAGCAGCTTGGCATCCAGGCTTGAGAGAGGAGGCAGGGCTGTCCAACGTTACAAGTACCTGTGCGTATATCCAGTAGACTCCCGGCTCCTTCACCCTGACCTGGCCGTTCTTCAGCACGAACCAGCAGCCTTCAGGAGCGAACCAATCAGACGGCTGCCACAACCGCACTAAGGGGAGATAGAGATGGAACAGGGTTTTATACACTGTGGTTGTATAGTCTTTGTGTTGAACAATGTGTTTCTATGCACTGTATTGTTGCTGTACAGTACTAGTCTGTGTTCAACATCGTGTAAAATAAAAACGTTACACATGCACTCATAAACACACGCACGCATGCACACGCACACACATGTACGAACACACACACACATACGTACGTTCGTACAGTGTACACAAGAACACACGTACACACACACATAAACACAAACATTCCCTTCCTGTCATCCTCTCCCACTCTCTCTCTCACATCAAGTTTTCTGTACATTTGTTGGGACAGCCTTAACTTATATCAGATACCACTGTGCCCCCACAGCTCATTGTGGTTTACGTTGACACCTGCATGACGACATGCTCACCTGTTCCGGCGACATTGACGACAGAGTACTCCGCGGTCTCGTAATGAACGTGAGGCTGGGCCTTCTGTCTCCGGCCTGGTGGAAGAAAGGGCGGGACAACCAGTTAAAGTAAAAATGGATTTCAACTAGAAAGGTAACATTTGCAAAGCAAAAGCATAATGTTTACCTTCACATGGTCCAGCCTAACAAACGACTGCTCTCTTTATTGTTACTCAAACACATTAATACATATGTGTTGAGCTGCCACTCTAGATCTGTCCTGCTGCAAAATGTAACCCAACACCACAGGCTATCTGCTACAATACCAGTTATCATGGTCACAGACGTCTAATACAGGTCATTCACTTTATTTGTTTGGTGAAGAAGAGGAAGAAGAAAGAGCAAAAACAGTATGTTTTCCTTCTGCAAAGGTGACCATAAATATAAGACGCCAGAAAAGACGATACTTTCAGGACGTGACGTCACACCTTTCCTCCTGCACCGCCGCCGTCTGGACCCTGTCTCCATCCCCGCGTCCCTGCGATGCATTCTGGGAGTCACGTGATGGAGAGATGAGTTGGACGTTCGATAGTCGTGGACGTCATTGGCCATATTTGGGTAAATGTCTTCCTCGTATTCGTCTATAAAAATAAAGAACATAATGATAGTAATATGCAATAGGGTTGTTGATGGTAATCTAGATGATAGAACAAGTATAATAATATTGTACAGGCTTGGACAATATTGACATTACTAACAGGTTGGGACGCCATTTTCTACATTTCAAGGTCACCACATTGGAACACTCAAGGACATTATATAGAGGACCTGAAATCTAACTTGTAACTACTGGATGTAAAGTCAAGTCGCACATCTCGACTGAAAGAAACAGGCATTGCTTTATACCACGGTAAATGTATTTCTGTAACAACGTATGTATTAGTAGAGAAAAAAAAACTTTTTTCCAAGTTTGCATTGTTTCCATCTCACCTGTAGGATACACACGACTTGTTGGCACTGCGCCAAGTGAACTTTGACCCGTACGTTGCTCACCTCCAGTCTTCCCATCCGAAAACACCTTTGGCGGGAAAAACATAAACAAATCTCCAAGCAGATGTTGGGAGGGAAAATTATAACATATTCTCGTTGTCACGTTTTTCACTACAGCCATCGAGTAAAAAATGGAGCAGCCAGATAAGTTACGATTTTCCCTCTAACATCTGCTTGGATATTAGTGCAGTATACTCATAAAACTGTGATTGTTAAGATACGGATGGTTTGGCATTCATCCATGTTCTATTCTTGGCATATAACCGTGGGAATATTCAATTTAATTTACAGTTCGCTGGTGCATAAAAAGTTTCGATCCCCTGTTACACAACTGTTGTCCCAGTGCCAAATCATCATGATGCATGTATCTGTAACATATCAACGCCTGTATTTATCTCCTATTTAACTTTAACAACGCAGAGCTTGTGGTAAGTTTTACACGATTACTGCTCGCTAATGATAGGGGTTGGAATCTTTTGTGGGCAACTTAAACTCTCAGTCCCATGTGCAACAACAACCACACCCTCTAAGTACATAGCACAACTGTTAAGCCTTAGCTAGTCAAGGCCTGTTATTGGACATTATTAAAAGCTTTTGTCGGGGTTTCTAGTTTGTCGGCTTTTCTTTCGAATTCGGTATCCTTGCCTAATGACCATAGCCCCCTTCCCCCCCCCCGTCAACCAGAAGATATTATAATCAAGTCAAATTTATTGCACAACAATATTGTAACAGGCACAATGTATGGCAAGCTCTTCGGAGTTACTAAATATCTAGCTGATATCATTGCATTGAAGAAAATAACGCAATTGTTCGCCTACTTACGACACGGCAACATTGTCATAGAACAGACACTGCCGTGGACATGGATATATTAGGCTTTTCAGTAACAAGGCAGCTTGAATTCGCAGGACACACGCACGGCTATATCATATATCCCAAAAGCGTATGTTGGTGTGTCGTTATGTTCTTATGCACTCTACCATTCCCTGGAAGAATAGCTGTCACCTATGGGTGGGAAGCTAAAAGGAGAGTTGTTCTGCAATGAACCACAATACACGCCCTCAGTTTGTGACCGTGCTTACAATGTTGCATACCGTCTGTTCCCGCCATGTTTCCTCCGGTTCGGCACACCGACATTTGGCCAGCTCCGTCTGTAGCTGAACAATCCTGACGTACGTCCAACACGAGAAACACAGACACACCAGCACACACACCGGTACCACACACGACACTACAGCAGCTAACCTGCCACCAGACTCACACTGGCGACAACTACACGAAGAACCGCTGGTATCGGTACCACTAGCATAAGAGACTTTCTCGCTTGGTGGCGACATGTTAAACAGACAAGCTACGGCCTCGCCTGTACAGAGCAGACAGCTGGGGCTGTGTGTATGTTATGTAGCCGTCTGTATTGCTACCTTGAGTTTGATTATTGTGGCAGAGCGTTCTTGTGTGCAAAGAACAACCACCTGATACTTGTAGCAGACTCTAGTAACACCCCTGTAGCTTATCCTCCACTGTAGCCGGTACTACATACACGGATACAATGTTATAATGTTGCACTTTTCTTGTTGGCCACCTGTAAGGAGTAACTGACCTTGCGAAAGTTTAAGTGCTTTTGTCGTATCAATAAACTTTGTGTTTGTAGATAAGTAGAGACTGGGCCCGTGTGTAGGCTGTGTACGTGTCGACTTCACACTGTCAAGGCTCCTACCACCTACCACAGACTATTGTTCCCAGTTGTTATTGTGAACCACAGACAGGACCGAGGTGGTAATTGTTTGTTTGGGTTTTCCTGTCCGACTGTGACGACTGTCTATGGCGAATTAACTCTGGTTCAATGTCAGAATACTAAGCAGAAGGAAACCATGACCTAAGAAACCTTGTTGTGATAGGGGACTAGTCGAACATAAAAAAACTAACCGACTCTATCAACGTATGTACCCCTCCATCTCTCTATTCATTCTATCCCTTCTTTCTATGATTTCTCTACCCCCACTCCCTGGAATAGAAGATATGTTCAGTGTGAACACCTCTTATAAGCTTTGCTTTTTCAAAAGTCCACACAAAACATCACAACGAACCAGACGTACGACACTAGTGCTAGGTACGATCTTGCGAATCGTCCATAACCCACTGTTCACGGTGCTTACAGTGCCGAGGATGACCTTGACCCCATTCGAGGTCTGTTGTGGCAAGGACGTCTTTTGTGGTGAAAGATGATACCTGTGTGGATCACGTGATCCTCCAAGACTTCTCGGGCGTAACTCTCAGTCTCAGTAGACCTCACAAAGCACGCACGCACAGACAGACACATACGAGATGCGAATACGGCTCGAGTAAATTATACTGTAGACAACGAGCTTTTAAAGTTTTTACCTTACTGGTACATGAAATTAGACACTTTGAGTAATCAAGAGTATCCACGATAGTCTACCTTAATTCAGAATAAAACGATAGTGATAAAAGTGATTGCTATGTCTGTTTGCGTCATATCTCCACACCACGTTCCAACATGGCGGCCAGACCGGTAAAATGGCCGCCAGCATGTTTCACTTATGACTTTAATATCTTCACCATAGAGGCGAATTCTTAACAACTCGTCCCAAGGCTATACTTCTAACACTGTCCAAAGTATGGGACAAGAGATGACAAGGAAATCTACACCCACCTGAGCAGTTTTAAGACGACAGAAGTCACCTGTGTATTTTTTGAGAACTTATTTCCGGGTTCATAACCCTAGAGGATCAACCAGCCGCCAGGTAAACATTCTTCTGTACCACTCGTGCATGGACAGCAAACATCACTCACTGTCAGGAGTTGGCATATCTTGCTTTCAGCAGCCAATATGTCTTCTTCAACCAGACATTCCGTAAGAAATGTAGTATTTAGAGATGCAATCCCTTTATTAAAAAAGAGGAATAAGTATTAGCGGTATATCTAATATGAGTATGATGTACTGTAAACATGATGTCAAATTGATTTCTTACATTGCATGTGTTATAGTGGTGGGTGAGGTAAGATGTGATACTTGAAGATATGGCTAAGGGTGGGCTCTGTAATAACTGTAATGTCGTCCACTTATGACAACGTTTCTTAAATCGGCTAGTAATAACTTTATTTGTTTGTCTTGGACTTGAACCATCTTCTACAAAAGCCCCCAAAACAGTTTTAAAATATACCATTGCTACAGCACAACTACACGTACCCTATACATTAACATGCCATGCACTATGGCGGGGTAATATTTCGCATTAAACAAGACGACAATAGACCACTGACAGCCCAATGCACGGTCAGGTGAGTCAGGCTTGTCCAACAAAGCAGGTATACAGGTGTTTCCTGTACCGGTTCTAACCTGTTTCACAACTCCTTCACACCTGTGGTCAGTCTCACCTGCGGGTATCCATGGCAACCAGTATCGATCCAGCCTTTCCTGGAATTTTAGAATCCTTACAGGAAAACACGTAACCCGATATCACAGTTCGATCTAATGGCTAAGTGGTCAGCAGGTATACGTAAGGCGACGTAGGCGCACCGCTGACTTCTAACTCAGCAAACTCAGCTATCCTACGGAAGTTCCATGTGTTACTCACAGGGTTATACTTTAGAAGGTATTAGAAGTATAGAGTGTGTGCCAAAGAGGAGTTACCGCAAACCGTTTCTGTACGAGGGTCGTCAGAAGTTGCCGACTGTTTTTCTCCCCAGGAATTTCTTCCGGGTGAACGTCCTGTGGACGCCTGTGTGGGGATACGGTGTTCCATTGACATCTCAGGTACGTGAAGTGATAGAGTGAAGAGTTTCGCACAGGTGTGTCGGCACAACCAGTCCGGATCAGGATAGACACCCAGTATTTTAAAAGTGCAACCATTCATCCTCAAAGCTCCCTGGAACTGGAATGATATTTTGTTTTAAAACTTCTAAATCTAAAAAGTATCGAAAACAAAGTAGGGGCCACCATATAGCTGTTTTCAGAAGTTAGGAATGGACGATTGATTTCTACAATGCGATACATCTAAGTCATATTAAAGAGGACTATTAATGTGAAATCTTATTATTTTCAAAATGAATATTGAGTGACATACTCTACTAGACTACTAGTAAATGATTACTTGTAGATATCATAAGCAAGTTAAAGGGAATGTGTTATGGGTATTCTTGATGTACACTCTAGCCCAAGTTTTTCGTACGTTTAATTAAATTTCAACTGATATCAAAAGACTCAATGAAAGTAAAGGACATACTATACCGCATCCTAACAGTATCATTACCATGGCATCACATCATGTCCACCTGTCCCCCCGTTATTGTACATTTGGTCACGGACTCGCCTTCTGTAAACAAAGTTCCAACATGGCGCTGGCAAAAGTGAAAGTAAACTTACGCTAACTTCTAACACTAATTAAGAACAAACGGAGGCGTAATTTTAAACATTTGAAACGGAGACAAACTTTCGAACGTCTCCAAAGTATAAAATGCAAAGAAAAAAGAAAGTCATACAAACCGTTTCCCTACCATGTACGGTAGAAGTGGCAGGTGCGATTATAGAAGGCTGTACAGGTGTGGTTACCTGGCCAAGGGTGGCGTCTCAACACTTCACATGGTTGGCATGTGACAGACCCTCTCTCTCTCTTCATACTTTCATGCGGGAATAGAAGGGTATAGTTCTTCTGGCCTCTTGTTTTTTCTTCTTCATATATGACCGGCATAGCTCTTCTCCTGGCCAACTGTATTTTCTTCCAGAGTGATAATTTCTTCCTGAGAATGGAAACTGTGGGTCTGCATCCTCACATCTATGGATATATTTCAAGGTCACCACCAGGTGAGACAGCCGGTGCATGTGGGCTTCTTTGCCTCAAACAGCTGTAAAATGATGCAAAGAAAAATATGATTTCAAGACGATCCGTATACTCGCATTCTTTAGCTGAGAAGCACGAAAGGCACACCGGAGGTGCTAAACATGCATGCACATAGTAGGTAAACAAATGCAGGATATAGAGGATTGGAGGGTACACTTTCTCCGCATCCTCTCTCCACACACGCCGTGGACCACGTGTATTTTGGACACTGATGTTTGAATGGGGAACTACCAATTGGATCTTAGGATTCTCTGTCACCATGGAAACCAGTAACCACAGCCTCCAACACCATGGTAACGTATAGGGATGGACCAGCGTTAGTAAATTAACAGGATTAGAATGTTACCAATTATCCTAACTTAGAAGTGTTGGTCATCAAGTACCTACATTTAGGGGTCTGACCAGTGGAAGGGTTACTACATGTGAAAGTGTGATGGCCGGGGATTTTGTCAGGCTAGATGTTTAACCTCCTTGCTATATGTAGATGCCTTTAAATTCGTGAAGGCAGAACAACGTTGCGTGTTGAAAACGAAGCAAACTGGTGTAAACACTATAAACGTTAGAACACGAAAATTTTCACAGATAAATAAAAACAAACAATAGCATATTTCTCCCTCTTTATTTATCCCTTCTTATAAATATTGTACATAACAAAGGCAGTGTTTATAGCTATGTGATGCATAAGTATAAAACAGTAACAAAAAAAATTAAAATTACTCATTGTGACTTAGTCAATACCGTTACCATGTAGGTGACCTTCTATGTGTTACTGCAATACTCCGATACACTGCTTCTCACTGAGAACTGGCTGTACTCAGATTTAGTGAGTGCCCATTAAAACTGATATAAGTAATCGTAGACAAAACCGTTGTTGGATCGAAACACATTGTCATGTTATCAACACAGCTCTGTAAGTAGCATTGTACATGTTTTTGGTACAAGAAAAACTGCAGTAACTTCAGAAAGGTCACCTACAACAAACATTGATATCGAACAGGGAATGGAAGAAATCAACAATATGTTATACTTACTATGTACAGCGAACGATTCGGTCTAAAGACCAAATCTTTGCCCTCCACCGTTATCATAGCTACTATCATATCCATATTTCTCTAATTTACTACTTCATATAATATATATATATACATATGCTATTCTTCCTTGCTTTTGGTACTTAACAATCGGCTGGCAATGACTGCGTTTGCTTTCTGACTTGTGTTCATCAGACAGGCGTCTAAGTACATGCAATGTAATGATTCCTACGTCTGGATGTATATACAAAGAAAACATATACAACAACAAGATACAGATGTGGATATATGGATAAAGTATATAACTTTCACCCAGGTTAAAAAGTCTATTGGCGCCTTGTGGTAAAATCCTTGCACTATAGCTATGTATCCACTTAAATTAATTTAGAGAGCTTAATATATTTTTGCAATTGAAGTGACCAGGACTATTGAATTGTTACTAGTACGTTCATCCTGACGTTCCTCTTTCTTTTTTCTTGTTCTTTTTTTCTTATGCGTCTTGGCTTGTTTTTTTTGGGGGGGGGGGAAAGAGCCCCGTATATTTCTGAAGTTTAAGTGGCCAGAACTAGTGAATTCTTACTAGTACGTTCATCCCGACGTTCTTTTATCTTTCTTCTTGTTACTGTGTCTAACACCACGTCTCTTAGCTGGTTCCGCTATCTTAATCAGACCGAAGAAGGTTGTTTCAGGACTCATGTCCACCACCGCATTTTCCTGCTGAAGTTGCACGAAAATCTTGTCCCCAGCGTCTAACGGAAACACTCCGGCGGTGAAGCACGTGTTATACTTCCTACTCTCGTTCACAGGGCTCTGAATGCACTGCAGGAACGGCTCTTGTTCCCCGGACTCTCTGATGATGTGGCTGATGAAAGCGTGTGTGCCGTCGTAGTAATACACCTGCAAAGGGCGATAAACCACTTTATAAAAGTGTCCATTTCTTTCTACTTTGTAAAACATGTAGTAAAGTGAATTTCATAGGCAAGGCATAGTAGCGAAGGTTAGTACCTCGAATGTGTTAAGTTCGTATGTTTGGTTCTTATGCGTTAGTATAAGTTATTATGGACGAGATTTTAAAAACTGCCTATTCAATACTGTTAAGAAACTAGGCTAGCCCAAACTGATCTGTGCAAATCCAAAAGGATAGAAAATGTCCGAAAAAGCGGTTTGCTTTCAGGATCCTTGATAAAGACTGTAGAGTTTGTTGACAGTATTGGATCTACAGCTGAATCCCTCTCCACAATACCTACACAGTAGGATACCAATACAGTATTTATTTATTCACATATATTTATTGAGTACTGGGCCAAAAGCACAGGTTGCTTATATAACACCTACTAAATATATACAACGAATGTAAAACACATGAACAAAATACATGCATAATTACAAGGTGATACCTGCAGTACCTGACTATAGACGAAGTACAGGCCTGACTCCGTCACTGTGAGCGAACCGTCCTTTGAGTTGAGGCGGAACACATTGCTGTACTCATGGTACTGTTCGTACTCAGGCTCAACCATCCAGTCGGCGGTCTTCCAATGGTTCACGTGTCCATCTGAAAGTTTACCAAAACATAAGTAAACGTGGTCCTCTATATGACACGAACAAAGATGGTGTGGTTTACCAAAATAGATGTTATGATCATAATACAACATGAAGCTGAGACTGAAGCCATGTTTGAGATTGACAGGAAGCCTGTTAATGAAGCTTGCAACAAAGAAAACAAGTTAGTAGTTATTTGACAACTGATCTCTCACCTTTAAACTTGTACCTTCGAGCCGGTCCGAATCGGTCCACGTTTTCTGTTTACGTGTAAATAAAAACAGAAAAAGGGAGAAGTAAGTAGAATGTTTGCTTACTTTCTCTCTTCTGGTCCCTCATGGACAGCAAGACCTCACTCGTGTTAGCCTGAGCGGTTTGTTTCATGATTGGATCAGCATCTGGTAATGTGGAAGGGGGCAATACGGGAAGGGTAGCAAATGATCATTGTGATACAAAACAATGAGAATTTTAGCATGAAAGTCCATCTGTGTTGGTACAAGACATTATGAAATAAAGACAAAGCTTCAATTTCCAACACTAACTACAAAAATTTGGGGTAAGTCCCAAGTCTTTGTAGTTAGTGTTGGAAATTGAAGCTCCCTTCTTTCATAAGCAGAATTTTAGTAAATATAAAAGCATTTCATGACTATAGGAATCAATGTTTTAGTGTTTTGGACAAAGTCTTGCTGATACAGTCATGAGACATCCTAGTCACATCAGAGTACGATGCAACTATATGATAACCCCCTCTATTCTCTAACCAAATGTGCGTTAGTGCAAAAGATAGGACAGTTTTGACTGTGTTAGGAAGATAGGCATAGTATGGACTGCCACTCCTACACTACTACAATGGAGAAGAGTAAATAATTACCGGCCCCAACAGCCACTGCCCCTCCGTCATCTCCGGCATTCCCCTGAATGTGCGCCGCTTTCAGACCG